GAAAGCTTTATAACATTGAATATTAGTCAATCTTGACAATTCAATGATTGTGTTCTGAGGGTATAGGTAAGAATCACTATCACAACCATATATCTTTGTGGAGACAAAGAATAATTCAGTAAAGGCAAAAGGCATGATTATAACTTTATATGGGGCAGACTGCAACAAAACCAGACAAAGTGAACATCTGGCATTACTCAGGTATCTTTTAATTTTTTTAATTACTTCCTTATTTTCAATCAAGGTCATTTTTTAACCTCAATTTGAGCGATTAATCGACCATTTTGTTGTTGGAACTGTTGTAATTGAACTTCTAACTCCTTAATTTCCTTTTCTTTAGCATTTAGTTTATCAACTAATTCTTGTGGAGTTTGCTTTTTTAATCTTTCTACTTCCGTTTCTAGCTCTTTTATTCGATCCAATAACTCCTGTTTTTGCCTTTTACTTCATTCCTCAGACTACTCCATAAAATTCTCATGAGCTTCTCGTTCCTCTTGAATAGTTCATTCGGCTTCATTTAATTGTTTTTGTAAAGAGTTTATTTGGTGTTCATAAAAAGTAGACATGCTTTCTTAAGATGTTCTTTTGAATTTTTTAAGTCTTTTGCCTCTTCTTCCTTGCAAGCGTTGTACTGTAAGCCATTCCGAAAACGTTGACAAGTATTACATAAATCCGTTCACGGACTCATTATTTGAATATAAGGCGTTAATTGGTGCCATAACTTGCGAAATGCGTCATATTTTAACGATTTTAATGTGCTATCATTTTCGAGACCTGCAATAAAATCACGGTAAACTGATTTATAACTCGTTTTGGCTGGCAATGGTGTAAGCGATTGAGTAATGCGATTGACATTTCTTGGTAATCAGCATAATTCTCGAGAAAATTCTTCACAGCGATAGCAATAGTTATATCAATGGTTATTTTGGTTTTTCATCGCGGCATTCGTTTTATGTTACCATGATTCTGACGTTTTCGAAGAGAGTGCGACCAATACCTAACATGTTTAGATACGTCTTTGACAAAACGGCATAATTCGATCTCAATAATAAAACGTTCTCTTATTAGTACGCGTTTTCCTTTTAAGACGCCGACTGGCAATTATTTCTCCACCATTCATTGCTTTCAGCTGGGCCATTACAAATATATCTTGTTCGGATCTAGAGAGAGCTTGAAACGCTTCACGTATTTTTCTTTTAGAATTCTTTTTGAGCAACCGCAATTACAACCTGTCTTCAAGAAACGCGCATTGCTTTATCATATTCGATGGAGTTGTTCTAATTAGAATTTTTCATTGACTTTTTTATGTTTAGCGATTACTCCGTGATATTCAAATCTTTATTTAGTAACTCCTAACTTTTGTAATATAATTTCTAATTGTCACTATCTCTATTAATGTAGTATGCCAACAAAAATTAGTCAACTCCCAGTATGATGAGGACACACAGATCATTGATCATGTGAATTCCGCTGTAAATACACGCGTTCACGTAATCGCGAAAGTCGAATTTGCGAAATTTGCAATGTCTCTGCCATCTGAAATTCTCTGCGTTTCCCTAGTGAGTCTTTTTTTTTGCAGGACCTTCGTAGTTATGTCTCAGTCCTATTCCGTGATGTTAACTATCTCTCTAAAGGCTTCTGGAATAGAGATCCCTCGCGATGGGGAGGTCTCTGTGACTGGGACATGTTTTTCATACAACAAATACCAGAGGCAACCAAGTGGAACGCGCACCATTCGCTTGCTGCCGAACTAAGAGTTCTTATGAGATTGCCGCACTCTAGCCCTTGCCATCAACATGCAGTTCTTATGATGACATCTCTTAAGGTAAAAATTTTATGCCGGAAATGAAATGCCAATCAATTGTCATATCCCTGCGGCCGGGTAGCCGAGTAACGTTGTTACAGATGACAAACCGTGTGTTTGCTGGAAGTGGGCTCTGTGACAATTGTATATGTAAGGCACAAACCATACCCCTGCGGCCGGGTGCCGAGTAACGTCGTTACAGAAGACAAACCGTGTGTTTGCTGGGAGTGGGGGAAGTGCTGAATGCACATGATTTGGCCGAATTGTAACTGGGTGATGTCCTGATATTTGCCACATTGGAAAGTTTTCTAACACATTTCCCCTTCTCTCCTGAATGAGGATTGTCATAAAAACGATTCGAATGTCAATTTGTGGTCCAAGTATATGAAAGAGTTGGCTGGACTAACCGTTGCTAATCGAGTGGATACTGTAAGTTGTGTTAATTGCTTTGATTATTTGTAGGCTGTTGTGCTAATCCTCTTCCGATTCTTCGTGAAATATAGTTCAGTGTAGAAAGTGCAGCATTTACAACGGGAGCCACAGCTTTGAGGGATCATTTTGAGAGGAAGACGGCTAAGTAATAAGCGTTTGTTTGTTTTTTTTTGGGTATTTGTGACTTGAATTGATCATTGAATATTTTTCTTTGAACAGCTTGTTGAGAAACAATTTAACAGGTGATCCAGCAATGTCATCTCAAGAAACAGTATCTGAGGGAATGCCAGACGAAATTATTGAGACACCAGTAATGAAGCAGGCGCAGTTGGTAGATTTTGGTAATTAACTGGGCCAAAAGGTTGATGGATTATTTGTTATTGATGATACTGAGGTGGGGCTTGTGGAGATGACGGGGGGACCCAATGTCCGAGATCTACCCCGCTACATCAAAGATCATGTGCGGGGTTACTGGGGGATGAGAGACCTCCTCAATGGCATTGCTGCTGATATGAAATATTGCCAGGGGAGCTTTGCAGTGATACGCCGGCTTCGTGTATACTTTATCCAGACACATGGTAAGATTGTAAAAATAGAATTTTACCAGTTTTACGTATACTGATTTTGTTCGTGATCAGGCTTAGATATTGAGATCTGGGCAATGGACTGCCCAGTCTCAGAACTCTTTAGAATGTATTTCATTGGATGTGCCAAGCTCCCATTATATTGGGACTACAAGAATGGGTTGATCACTTTGCTGCCACTTTTATGGGACTTGAAGGTAGTGTATTAACAATTTGTACATTGTTACAGGTTCTTCATGCTTGTTGATCTAGTTCTTATTTCTTAGAATGGGCTAGAAAAAACAGGAAATAGCCTTGGGATATTGAAGCTGACTTCAGGTCAAGTTCTTGCCAAATCTCGTAGTCAAAAACGTTACCAAGAAAACAATGCATTGAGTATGTATTTTCATACACAACAACAGACATCACCAATGCTGGCTGATACTAAAAGGGACACAAAAGAAGCTAGAACACTCAAACCATATGAAGACTATCCTGAGGAATAAATTGTTGGTCATATCATGTTATTGACTTTTGGAAATAAAACAAGTTTATGTATATGTAGGACATCTCCATGCAGCAATCATTTTCTGATAATCACATAACAGTTACATTATAATTAGCTACATCAGCTATTTTTAACTCATGTATTCAAATATTCACTCTGTCTGGTTTTGTTGCAGTCTGCCCCATGTTAAATAACCGCAAGCTTGCATGGGAGGGAAACTAGTACTTGATCAGAGTACTAGAAGTAGTCAGACCCAAAGCCTGTCTCGGAAGACAATAACTACTCCTATTCTTTGGGCTCGCGGATATTAACTAATATCATCATTATTGTTATCGTTATTTTTGAAACTACTGCCATCGCGAATTATTTCTCTGTTAGCACTACTCAAAAATAGATTTCTGCTACTGCTACTAGAATTTTTTCGATTTTCTTTCGCTTCGATTTTGTCTAATAATATTGTACATTTGTGCAGGAGAACGTTTCTCTTTTTCCAAGGAGTAAATTCAACCCAGAGGGTTTCAGTTTCGGTATAGCATTCAGATCCGCAACTTTGCACAGATGCTTGCCCTAGTTAGAAAATTCAGGTTTTATAAAGCAATGAGTTTAACCCTGAAATACAACAATATACTTACACGTCTTAACATAGCGTGTCATTCTCACGAAATAGTTTACAAACCTTTACTTTGGGCTCCACTTCTCCATTCCGCTTCATTATGCATTGGACGGTTTTCTTTTTTTATCTTTTTTAAGTTTCGGTATGCTTTGATAAGCAAACGTATAGACCACAAACACGGCGACGAAAATCGCAAATAAAAATATATTGGGAATATTCAATTGCATCTTGTGCTTATTTATTTTGCAGTTGATACATTTACATAGACGATCCTTGCCCAGTAAAATATCTATACCCGTAATTATTTGCGTTTAACTGGATGGCTCGTAAGAACAAATCGACGTTGCACTCAGGGAAATTTACTGCAAATCCGAAACCAAAGCGACATTTAATTATGAAGAAGTATTAATTAGCGATCGGTGTGTAACAGTAAATCTAATTTTGTAAGCATTTTTTGAATAATTTGTTGTTCGCTTCTTTTATAGGTTAAATATTGATGTTGGAAAGATTTTATAGTTCGGTTTTTCTAAAACAGAATATAAATACGGGTCGTGTTTTTACAATAAGCTCTGATGCCGACAGATTGCGTGTTCATTATTCTTACTATTACTATTACTGATTATAAATGCGTTACGGTTACGGATTCTGAAACAGTTGAAACGTTCGAGGTTTATGTATTTTCTCCTTTTGAACGATGTCAGTAGAAAAGGCTGTCAACACCAGCTTTTGTAAAAAGTAAATATTTACTAAAACGCTTGACATTTGTATGACAAGCGTTGATGCCAACACTTGGTTGTCAATAGCCAATCTTACTAACTAAAGTTTATTTACATGAAAAAACCCAACGTTAAGAACACACTAACGAGAATTGCACAAAAGCATAATCAAAATTTGCATAAAGTCAACAATTGCGGGAGAGTCAACTCTACGCAGAGCTGTGGTTTGGCCACTTTTGGTTAAATTTAGTATTTGTATTTAAAGACCTTTCAACTAAAAACTTGTGTCGATCGGGGTAGGCATTAATCCTTAGCCGGTATCGGTATAGGTTGGGAGTATATTGTACCGCACTGGTTCTGGTACTCCCCCCAGTACCCGGGTACAACTTGTACGATACTGACAAAGGCTATTGTACAAGACCAAAGCGATATTTCAAAGCATTGATATTAATTAATATAATCATGCAGACAGACAGTTAAAACTGCATCTACTAATCATCTCAATTTTCTGTATTTGTACGCTCGATAATAATCAATGATTACATCATCGCTTCTGTCCTCCCTTATTTGAGATCCCGTAACATTTGAAATCATATGTCCCATGAATTCCGTTGGGACAAAGCATTTTAATTACCTAATATACTAGGAATAGTACTCTTCTAGAATAGTAAACCGCTCTCGCCCAGTACTAAATAAAACTAGTGTCTATTCAAACGCACGCCTCATCTTGAACGAATAACAAATATCCATGGGATAAGAAGCGATATAGGAATTAGTGGTTCGCAATCATATCAAATAATTTACCGGATCAATAATGTATTTCATATTATAGAAAATGACCCGTTTATTATAATAAAGGAACACACCGAGTTTGTGTACGCGGTTGTGTAATATTGCATGACCGATCTGTTGTGGTACTATCCGCATCCGAGTTACGCAGAAATTAGGAGCATAATACGTCATAATTTGTATCTATCTATAAACCGATCTATTCAAAAAAAGCATGGGCTTGGAAAGTGTATAATATTTTTCACAACACGCACAACACCTTTGTGTCGAAAACGATAAAGCTCTGCTTGACTTGCGATGTTGGAATACATTCCACACATGTTTGACTGTTGAGACGACGAATGGAGATAATTACTATAAAACAAACAAACACAATAAACAAAGCGGCGTCTTTTTTCCATTTTTTATTGCAAGTATGTATCCCATTTACGGAAAGGCCTATGAATTGGCTGCGGCTAAATAGGTTGTCATCTATTCGAACTAACTATGGCTCGTAAGATTGATGAGATAAGAGGCGCGAGAGCCTGATTTTATCTTTTGATCCAAACGTTGATACAGAACACAAGCTATTCCTAATACTTCACCAGATATGCAAGATAACGAGACATATTAAGGCACAATAGCTATGGTTATGGAATTTATTTATGTAACATAAAGACACATTGCTGTAACTCGTTAAAGTTTCCATATTTTACATTTTGGGCCCTTGCTCTTCATTACAAACATTCATCCTACCCCCCAACAACCCCCCCCCATCGATTTGTTCCCTTTCGAACGTTCCCAACATAGAACAATCCCATTATTGTTCTAAAACAAGTCAACTAACATACTTTTGGAAATGATCATCGCAAAGTTTCAATTGTGACTGTTACATAACATAGAATGTCAACATAATAATCAACGTATACATTATTTTTTTTATTTTTTTTTTATTTTCAATTAATTGTGCGTGTGTGATAGACGATAGATCGATCAACCTGACGATACCAGATGTCAATCCAATCAAACAAATGCGCACTATTTGCTTTGCTTCAAAAAAACTTGAAAATTGCAATACATGCGTATGCCGTCATTATAGCATCCGATCATATATAATAATTCAAATCAATTCAGAAAAGAGAAAAAAAAGTATGAAACTGTACAATGTGAAAAAACTATGTAAAGAAGAAAACTGATAAACAAAAAGATCAAAACATGACTAAAAAACAACAACAAAAAGGAAGGAACAAATAAATTCAGTTTAAGCATCTGACATCTTTAGCCTATATAAAAAACACCGCCGACGAGAACGGGAAATTATTCCCACTCGATCGTCAAAGTTTTATAATGTCCGCGAGAACGGCAAAGTTATTTTTGCTAATCGTACCATTTCGTAAATGAAAAGAAAAAAGAAAAGAAAAAAGAAACCCACCGTCATCAACATCAATACAACAGAAAAAGAAAACGCAAAAGCCCCCATCGCCCTTCCCACCCAAACCATCCCAAAAACGAGAGGAAAAAAAAATAAAAAGTAAAAAAAAAAAAAAAACACCATCTACAAAAACATTTTATATAACATAGCCAAACTATTATCTAGTATAAGACTCTTCATCAACTTGTAAATCTTCCACCATTACATTCTCATAAACCCAGGCCCATTGACGTGATTACTAATATGCGGCTGTACTTGTATGTGAGAAGGTACATTCACCGATTGCTGAACACTCGGCACTCCAACGCCTGTCGCAAGATTTGGTGCGTGTACATTTGGTATGGTATTCTGCAACATACCCATGTTCATACCTATCGGTACTCCGTGAAGTGCTGTTATGCCTGCTTGCGAATGCGCGAGTGCTTCAATGCCCAAAACTCCATTTGCTTGAGCAATTGGACAATCTTTGTGCGCAAGCAGCAATGTCTTCAGATTAAGAATCTCTTCACGAAGAGATGTTGCTTGACTTTGCAACTGTTCATTCTCGTTAGTCAGATATTCGACCTTGGCTTGGAGATTGGCGAGCCACTGTTTCTTACGTTGGCGACATTTGAGGGCGGCTTAACGGGACGAGGAATAATGAAAAAAAAAAAAAATTAGCGTACGGGACCCATGCATAGAATGTCGCATCCGTTGCATCGAACGGTCAACTAAAATAACGAAAACCATGAACAAATGCTAGTTATAATAGTCATGCCTTGGCGATTTCTTTCCAAAAAGTTTTTCCGTTTCTCCGCATCAGATAAATCATTTTTTGTCTTTTGATTGCTCTTCTTTTGTGCAGGCTGATCCGTAAGATCTTCGGACGCCTTGCGGCGATGATTCGTCTTTGAATTCTTTGGTGAATTTGTATATGCATCGTTTCCTGCGTTGGACTGGGCTTCGTCGCTTTCGTCTTCAGATTCTGTGGAGTTGTGGTCTGTCGGGCTGGGTGGTCGAACACCATTTGTTTTAGACTTTGTCGATCTTGAGCGAGTAGATGATGTCGTCGAATTTGTGATTGCGTTCGATCCATAATCTTCTCGTTCTGTCTTTGTGGGTACTACGTCTTAAAAAAAATAATGATTGTTATCTCGGTTACAATGCTGAATTTCATGATATCAATCTCCACAAGATGCCTACTCTGTCACTTTCAATTTCATCTCCCCTCTCTTTGTTCACTCTATGCCAACTCACTCACCCTCATTATTAATTTCTGATCCGTTCTGCGTACTGACAACGGCTGCCCCATTCACATTAGACACAGCCTGAATGTTTGTAAACTTTGTTAGAGTGCTTTTGATGATACATGCTCAACTAAACAAGTCTGCCAATACGATACCAAGGTTTGTAACGGGTCATTATACAAATGAATTGTAAAATGATTACCTTGGGCCCGAACTGGCCAGCCATTAGTCCACCACCAGGCTTCAGTGTATTTGATGAATTGTTAAATGCTGATGCAAGAGCAAGTGACTGTGCGCCATAGAGAGCAGCCGATCGAGGGGATTCAAAAGATTGGAAACCGAGAGGAGTGGTACCGGTGCGGCCATTTGCTGTTACGCCGATGCCATCATAGTTCTGAGGTCCTCCCAACATTGCGGGAGATAATGGACCGGAACGGAGTGATTGTAAATTCCAGCCATATCTTTCGGATGCACTCGTTCCTCCTGCTGCTGGACTGGTAATTTCTGCTACTGGAGGGAGGCTTGGTTTAGGACTGTTGGTGCCGGGGGTATCTCCTAGTGGAGTTATATGGGAGAAACTTTGTTCGAATGGATTGGGTTCCAAGTCTAGTTTAGAACATCGAGCCAAAAATCGGGTGGGCGTTTGATCGGTTATTGTGTGCGGAGCATCCTTATTGCTATCGTCTAGAAGACCTGGCGTCTTAAATAAAATGTCTCGACCAGAAATTGAATCGGTAGAAGAGATTTCCGTAGTCGTTGCCATATTATAACAAGTTTATATGCTATAGCTGTGCTGTTAGAGAGGTGGGGGGGGCGAAGTCTGTGTGTGGTGAGTGGAGAGTCTGTATGTGTATGTGTGTCAAGTATGTGTGTGTAAGCAAGTAATGTAATGATGGTATTTGACAAGTATAATAGTATTTACATCTACAGCTGTCAATAAAATTAGTATATACACTTATAGTATAGGTAAGCTGTCAAATTTTCAACTTGAAACTCGGTGGAGGGTAAATGGTAATACCTTTGAAGTAAGAACAGAAGAGTCTACTGCGGAAGAGTGTTGTTGGTCAGTGTGGTGAGTTGGCAGTTACTGAGGGGACGTATGAATATATTTGGGCTGTTAGCAGTGAGTTTGTTTGTTGGAGTTTCCCTTTTTTTCCAGGAAAGCTGTATTATGACGATGGGGGGAAAGAAATCGGTGAAGGTTACCCAATTGATTATTGCAGATTGTTTGAGTTAATGTGTATTTTATGTTACCATAAATTCTTTTATCTGCACTCCAACTTACATGACGAAATCCTTACGTCATAATTTCCATTTCAGGGTCACTTGATTTTCCCTCCCAACTATCCGCCAAAAACGTTAATTCAAATGCTTGGGAGTACAAAATGGATAATGGAGAAAGCAAGTGGGCTTAAAGGCTGAAAAGTATATTTTTATGTGTGTTGCATTACAGGTATTAATATGGCTAAACCCTGAATCTAAGAATTGGAAGTGAGAACAAATAGCAGCTGGCAATTGAAAGGGAGCATATTTGTTTTCATTCACTTGGTTGCGATCTTTTTAATTTATCTTGTTTTTTGTTTGATTTCGCCAATTTTTTTTACACATCAATTCGAATATTCCAATCTTATTATAATCTAAAAATCACGCAGCATCCCAGCAAGTGTAAATAATAAAATAAGAAGAATAAAAATAAGTTGCAAGACATGCGAGTGCTAGTGTGAATAATTAAGCAAATGCGAACAGAACAAAGGGTTATATAAAAAAGAAGAAACGATCAGGTAGATTACAAACAGAAAGAGAATTCCGATAATTTCAATTATTTGTTTTAACACATAAAACTGGTTTCCTTGCTTCTTTTAAACTTGTGTTACAATTATCATTCTATGTCTGAAATAAAATCTTTTGTTTTTCCTTATATCTAGCTTACCATTCCTCCACATACCGTGACTCATACTGTCATTCGAGCCATCATCACCGAATATAAAAATCATTGCCATGTCCATCTGTACTCTGATTCTGCTGATGCATGTATTGTAAACCCGGCGATGTAGATGATGTGTATATTGGAGTCGAAGACGATGGTGACAATGTCATTGATCGATTTGCATTCAAGGAATTGGTCATCGGAGATGGTGCAATTGGAATATATTGTCGTGTTGACAATGTAGGCGATGTGGCCCCATTCGATGTGGAACCAGTTGGTGATAATATGTGTTGGAGTGGCGATTGCAAAGATGATGGTGGTGTAGTTGGCAAAGTAAGTGTTGACTGCGGTGTAGACGATTGCATCGGACTAAAATTTATATACTGGTTTCTAAATGAAGGATAAAGTGATTGATATGATAGCTGTGAGAACGGTGAATTGGATTCGTGCATTTCTGCATTGGAAAGTGAAGTTGGAGTTGGAGTTGAGGGCTGGGCTGGTGCCGAGGAGGCTGATGAACGACCTGATAGTTCGAGTAACCCTCTTATACTGGGCAAATTTAACCCTTCGGATGGACGTTTTGAGTTTTTGTTTGTAGCATTATTCGTCATTGATTGTGATGGTGACGGAGAAAGTGCATTGGCCACAGGTTGCGTAAGTGACTGGCTTATAGACAGACCATTCTGCGGACTAGGATATGCTGTTATGTAGTTATTATATGCGTACGAAGGTTGACCATGTGCATTTGCGCTTTTGATAAGAGTCTCATTCGGTTCATTTATCACGCGAGAAGATAAATATGTCGGAGCAGTTGGTAATGTTGGTGATGCCAGCGATATACTATCGTGGCTAGCTGGCGGTGTCATGCTGTCATTTGAATGAACGTGTGAGCTGTAGGCCGTTGATTGATTGCTTTCAGTCTTTACAATTTTCTGAGGCGACTGTAGCGTCTCGTTAGATGAAATAGACGGTCTCTTCCTGCCATTGCTCTTTGTACTTTTTTCCGTGTTCTGCATCGATGATAATACCGCGGATCCCTCATGCGTATCCGTCGACTCATTATCCTCAACATCAGAGACATTATTGCAAGCTTGTGCATTACTGGTATGTATCGATGAGAACTGGTGTATTGACGTTGTGGGTGTCATCATTTCGTCCCCATCCATTTCGCTCTTTAAACTGGAAAAATAGTCCGAAACCACCGGCAAAGAAGACTCTAGCGTAGCAGAAGTGAACGTTGCGCGGGTTGTATCATCAACAACAGTAGGCGTATTCAGGTTGAGCCATCTCGTCACTCTGTATGCATTCTCTACAGCTGGTGACTCTCTCTTAATATCCTTCCCAAAGATATGATACAGATGCTGTGGCGAGGAGAATATCAAGATGAGGCAAAATGTCATAATATAACGATGGTTTGAACATTTCTTACCTTTCCGGCCAAAGCCTCCAGTTCTCTACGTCGTATCGCGTTCTCTTTCGCATCTCCATTGCGATATTTCTGCCATTTTGTAAGGATATCATTTATCCTCGTTGATATTAATGTCTTGATATGGTGTTTAGTAATTGCCAATGATCTAAAGTCTTGCTCTATGGTTTTATCAAACTAATGAACCGGAAAAGAATGTTGCTTTCGGTAAGGTATTTGCGATATATATTCTTGCTATTGGTTTTAATTCATTACCTGTAGCACGCTCTTTTTTAGGAAATTAATCAAGAAGGATTCATATTCCGAATCTACGAAAATTCTCTGTACATTTTTATTGTCACAATCGACGAGCTGTTGCGAGTATACTTGCTTTGATTCTCGCAAGGTGTTCTGTGAACGCGAGGGGTAGGGGAGACGGCATGCGATGAGCATAAATATGTGATGCAAAAAAGGTTATATCCATACTAGTAGCGCAGGTAGGTCAAAACACATACCATCATTGTACACGTCATCTGTTGCATTATTCTTGGCGACATATAAGCCTGCCTTTGTACTGTATATGACACTTTATGAATGATGTCATTTTCGGTTCCCTTCCCTTTTCCCGATCTGCTCGTCTTGTGTGGAGTAGAGAGATTATTATGGGGGTTGCTGGCATATGAATGTAGACCATTAGCGCTGCTCGTTCTGAAGACATACATCCCATATGCCGGATTACTAGACGCATAAGCGCCCAAGCCGGATTCAGGACGTATTCTGCTAGATACAGAGACAATCAAACCAATGCTATTCGGAGACTGACGAACAAGTCAGTGACGCGTAGTTAGAGTTGGAGACAAGGGTATTAATTAGCAAACGGTAACCATGAGAACCGAACAATAATTCCTCGAATTGCCAGTAAATGTAATACCTGTAATTGTATCGATTGCTGCTTCTTAATGTCTGTATCAACTGGAATTGATTTATGGATATTTGGGAGATTACTGTAACGACACCCCACGGAAAATTTAGAATCAGACGAAAAATTTTGAAACACATGTATGCAATGTATATAAACACAAGAATTTAACAAAACGTAGTGTGGTGTGGTCTACTATGAAAACTAGCATTTGATGTACCGATAATAATTGATGACTTATAATACATATCACCACTCATATACGTAGTGCATATACCTTCGATACCATCCAACTAGATAATATCCCATTTCAGCAAAAGTCTTTACTGCCTCATCCAACGCTGCCTCAACTTCTCGAACTGTGGTAGTCAACATAGACACGACATTCCTGCGCCAAAAACGACACGATTATTGCTAAACGGTAAGTGCACAAGTTTGCATATCAAGTTCAACCCAAATTTACCTCTCAGATGCAACAAAATGATTTATGCGACAAATTATAGCTTCGTTGTCATTCAAATCAGCATCAAACCTTCCTCCCAAATATCCCATGACTTCATGTTTATAATCTGAAAATGCGCAATCCAAAAGAGCAGAAACTACTGACTCGTCAATTATCACACGAAATTTACTACAAAACCATATATACACACATTATTCAGATTCAATATTCAAATAAACATGGCTAGTAGGCGACGAGCTGTGTATGTCAACAACATAAACAGTCTTGTGTAGAACTACTGCATTGTTGCTCCTCCCCTTACATATTACTACCTACTAATGTCAAAGCTTTTTACTCTTATATATTGCCATCCCAATTAACAAGGTCTTAGTGTATAGGACCACTCACAATGTAACAACTGAGAAGTTCGTGCTTACCCAACTGGGTCATCCACTCTGTTGTTTATGTCTGCTGCCACCTTCTTGGTACCATTACGTCTGGGTGTGGACGGAATGGGACCAGAAGCTCGATCTCCAGTCATGGACAGCCGTCTAGCTCTGGGCTTACCCATCTGAATGTTTGAGGACTGCAAGGATGCAGAAACGATCTGTTCTACTTGAGACACATTTGGCATTTTCGACGGTGACTGTGACTTTGCCTTGGTAGTGGCGGGCGTTACTTTAGCATCACCTAATTGAGGTTGCATCGGTATACGAGCGGTGAAAAGCGCACAAGACGGAAACTATTTCCACCGTATTATATAAGTGTTTGATACCAGTATATGAAGAAGTACTATACGATCTGGTCAGATCTAAGACTAGAAATAGTATTACACGGAACTTCTTTTATTATGTGGGAAAGTGAGCAAACGAGAACACGATCGAACAACGATCGTGACCAAGACAAACGATCGCTACAGGTACGTTACTAATAGTTAATCGGAAGACGAGCGAGTAGTAGAAGAGCGTAGAAGGACGAGTTGGAAGGTGGAAGAAAGGGAACAGTTACAGGTCTAGTTGGGCTTCATGCTTCAGCCAATCATATTGGATACGCTGTGACTCGAGGAAGGGAACAAACAACTGAACAGCGACACAGCCTTGAATTGGACAAGTCGTCCAATCGATCACGGGATCATACTAGTTACAATATACTGCGGATGCTTTCGATACATGATAATTTGACAAATATTTTCGCTGACAAAAGATCTACCCCGCATTCTCCAAAGATCGACAATGTAAATTTACTTTTTGATAATGAAATAACGTTATCTCACAATAACTGAATGCATATTATCATTCCATATTCGATATAACTATAACTATATATAAAAAGGAAATAAAGTGTCCCTTGAGGGTAATAATTGTTCGTTTTTGGACGAAAGGTCGGATGTTTGTCTCTTGGATGAAATGATTTGCTCTTGATAAATGCATAAATATGCTTACGCAGTTCCAAGGCTAGGGAAAGCCCTTGTATCATTAGGATTGAAACCATCATTTCGACCGCGACGATTTTCTCTGTAGCCACCATCACGATTGTCACGGCGTTCTCTGTTGCCGTCTCTGTAGCCGTCTCTGTTGCCGTCTCTGTTGCCGTCCCTGTTGCCGTCCCTGTTGCCGTCCCTTCCACCTCGTCCACGGCCTCTACCTCTTTGAGATCCGCCACTAGGTCTCTCAAACGCTTGGTCGATTTCGATGTATTCCTTTTTCGCCTTGGTCTTATCCTTGCTCTTCAATTTATAAGATGTTTCCTGTTGATGGTAAAAATGATTTTGTTAATGAAAATGTACATATAAATACCGTTTTAGCCGTAAAAGAACGCAATAACTACCTTGCCAGCGAACAACACATCTTCCTCCTCATCGCGCTCAAGAGGAACAGCATCCCTCCATTGCGAATCGTCAACTCCCTCATTAGGCTTCCTTGGTTCGGGAAGCGCTACACTTAAACCTCTTTGGGCACGTTCGGCAAGATATTCATCCAGAGTCTTTTGCACTATTTCAACAGGAGCCTGTACCACATCAATGGAGTAACCACTATCGTCTTTGTTTTCCTGATCGCCACTTTTCCAATCAACATTTTCCGTGTTCAAATCGTCCAAAGAAGTTCCAGGATTCCAGGCGTTATCACTCTTGGCGCCATCCTCTCCCTCGTTCCAACCACCGGCCTCATTTGTACCAGTAGCTTCATCGCCGGTACCCCACGTCCCTCCATTAGCAGAGTCATCATTCGCCGCCCAGGAACTGGTTTCCGTTGCGCTAGTATCATTTCCCCACTTTTCTGTTTCATTTGATTCGGATGGCCACGAACTAGTAGGATCTCCCCATGCTTGCGAATCCTTTTTTCCGCTATCCCTGCAAAGGGAAACAGAATAACCAAGTTATAATTTCATTGTCTAATCTAATTCTGGGATATCACAATTCAATTCAGTTTGTTTTACATACTCTCTGCCAGTTCCGCTGTGACGGTCGTATTCACGTCCACGTCGTCCACCACGACCGCCGCGAGAACGTTCACCGGCACGAGCTCCGCGAGCATTACGAGGAGGATAGTCAGAACCGCCGTTTCCGTCGTCTTGATTACGGCGACCAGAGAGACGAGGGCCCACATTACGGTCACGAGGTCCTTCAAAAGCAAAATATAGAGTTAAACGATGTAGCGGGAAGAGATATGTGATTCGATTGACAATATTGTTATATACAATTTGTGTACTCATCAGAACAATGACAATGGTAAAACAACAATTATATGCCTATCATCGACTGTCAACGGCATTGATGCGGTCAAAGCCTTTATACATAGCTTTTATAAAAACGCGAGAACGTACGTAGCAAATGCCTTTGCCAAAACGCAAAAAACAGTTACATTTCCACTAACCTGATCTAGCCTCGTCATTGCCCCTCGTAGAAGCAGCAGCCCTGGTGGCACCACCACGCTGAGGATATTCGTGACGAATTCTAGCTTCGGTCTTGCTAGCACGAGACCTATCTACTTTCTTAGAAACAACTATCTCCTCTTTTGACGGTTCAGAAGTAGTTTCCTGCGGCTGGTCCTCGACATCGGCCAAAATGTCGAATAAGTTTCGGCTTGCGACACTGGCCATTACGTATTGGTGGATGGATGACAATACACGATTGTCGCGCTCTTGGATGACTTGTATGTCCTGTCTGGCAATGGGGGAAAAAAGAGAAGAATGTGGTGGACTCGGCCAATCAGAAACCATCTTTCCATTACGTAATAATACCAAGATAACACCTGCACAGAATAATTGTTATGTAATACGACGGACCTCCTGTCACGCTGGAAGGTAAGATGGGGCAGACTGCAACAAAACCAGACAAAGTAAACCTTTTGTATGCGATATAAATGAGAAGCTAATGTGGCTGAAGATTGCACAATTATTCACAAAATTTATATAAATTACGGTTTTAACACCTGTAACATTATTGAGTAACACTTTACCTAAAAATTATAACACATTCCATACAGGTCTATCTCTAATATAAAATTAATTTACATTAAATCTACTATGGAACCCAAGAATTTCTTTGTATCTTTTTAGTAAGTCTCTCGCCTCTTCTTCTTTGCGAGCGTTGTACTGTAAGAAATGTTGGCGTGTGTCACCTAAATCCGTTTGTGGAACTCATAATTTGAATATTAATATAAGGAATTATTGGTGTCATAACTTACGGAACGCATATTTCAACGTGCTGTCGTTTTCGAGACCTGCAATAAAATTACGATAGACTTGTAACTCGTTTCAGCTGGCAAGAGTGTAAGGAGTAATGCGATTGACATTTCTACCAAGACTTGATAATCCATAAATTTCAGCATACAATCCTTCACGGCAGTAGCAACGTTTATATCAATGGTTATTTTGGTTTTCCATCGTGGCATTTGTTTTATGCTACCATAAACGCGCTGGTATTTCGCCAAATGATTTCAAGTGTGTGTGACCAATTCCTAACATATTGAGGTACGTTTTTCTGACAAAGTGGAGTATTACAGTCGCGGTCATAAGTATCCGAACGGGTGTATCACCTAAACGCACATAATAATAACTCGTTAAATTTTCCAGCATAAAGGTTTTTGACAACGCCTGATCACACGTAAAATTTTAGCTTGAGCGGATGTCTACAGAAAATTTTCCAAACATCGAATATTTTATATCGGACTATACTACATCCTCTATGCGATGCCAACCATAAAACTTCAAAAATTCATATCTCGACGCTTGTATAACAAAATTTTGTATTTTCTTCTTCTTTTTTATTCTTTGAACCAGCCGTAATTATGCTTATGATCAATGGGCAAATTATAGCGTGATCGCTACTACGAAATGCAAATAAGCGATGACGACGTTAAGAGTTATAATGCAGTTGTTTCTTTTTTATAGTAACAAATCGTTTCATAATTCGACTAGAAGTTCCAAAAACCATGCAGAGATGGCTTAGATAAGCAATAGAAAAACAACTGATTAGAAACATGTAGAGATAAATTTTTGAAGTTTAAGTTCGAAATAAGCGAATGCGATTTTGATATTAATATGTTTCATACATTTTCGAAACAAAATATCCAATGTTTGGAAAATTTGCTGGAGACATCCGCTCGAGCAGAAATTTTACGTGTGATCAGGCGTTGTCAAAAACCTTTTTGCTGGAAAATTTAACGAGTTATTATTATGTGCGTTTAGGTGATACACCCGTTCGGATACTTTTGACGGCTACTGTAGCAGTAAAACGTTCACTTATTAGTACGCATTTTCTTGCTGAATTAGAAATGCTTGTACAGTCTCTAAACTTTCCAATGCTCCACTAGCGCTAACAGCTGTCATTTCAGTGCTTCTTCCGAATTACTACTGCTTTCTCCTATTTTGAACATATCTACAATCTTCTGAGAATTAGCAATATTATGATGGCAACTTGATAAGGTCTTTAAATAATTGATTAAAACAAACTATTACAAAAAACAATATTAAGCTATCTGTCGATTGATGTCTAAATAATTACTGTATATGACCTGATATTAGAAGACAATGTCCGGTTTTTGGCCAAATTTTCTTTACGCTTCGCGGTAAATTGTTCATAAGGCATTCATTTTAAAAAATTTTCTGAATAAATTCTACCCAATTCGTAAACTATCATAATAAATGAGGTGATTGCATTAACTACTTCCTCGTTTGTTTTTTTCCCTTGTTTTTGTTTTATTTTATTTATTTTATTTTCAATTAATACTACTTGTAGAAACAGGATAATTAATGGATCCACCTTATCATTTCGGTAACTGGTGTGCAAAAGTTTTCAAAAGCCACGTGGAAACCGTTTTTATGTATAAGCCTGTCATCACGCTGGACAACCAACGCGATTTGTATGGCACATTTCTCTGCTGATGGCATGGGTGAAACATGTAAGAAACAGACACGCAATTTCCCTGGCTTTTCAGAGTGCATGGTTTAAGTTATCTGATGACTCTTCTCGCTGTGCATGTGGCCTTTTTATTTCGAAAAGAAAAGGCATATTAATAAGTGGCCTGATCTCTCACAGAATACGTGACGCCCAATTGCAAGCTCACATATGTTTGTAAAACCAATGAATGGAAACTTCATGGGTTTACGAAACATCAAAACAACTCCGCGAAACGCAAGCGAATGGTTCTGTTAATGCAATTTCCATTGACCCTGGCGTGTTCGTACACCCTTCACATGGTACTCTCCTACTAAAGGTTGGCCAACGGCATTCGAACATTATTCTAATTTGTGTATGGCAAACATATGGAAACGTCAGAAGAAAAAGGGTCTCGCAACTTGATACGGCAATTTTTCGGATGGGACGAAAAATCAAGCACCTGTAAAGTGAAGCTCATAAAAAGAGTGTCGCATTTTTACTCGCGAATTTCATGTCATTATCACTGAGTATCGAATATTAATATGGTAACTCGAAAACAAGAAAGATATCACGAAAAGCTGTTCGTAAATGCTCTGGTGGCCCACTATCAGTTTCGCCATGTCTGATGGCTAAAGCAGAAGAATTAGGTCATGTTATAATATCCAACACTCCCAGCAGCAGGGATCGAGATTCTCCGGGCATTGCTTGATGGAGCCTTGATTCCTCTCCGGAGATACTGTTATTGTGTTACAATCCATAGAGTATGTTCAGATCTACATATTAAAAAAAATTCAGATCAAAAAAATAAAATTAAAATAATCGAAGCGCGATACTTTTATCTTGGACCATTTTACACTGTTGCGTGCAATAAACTCCCCCCTTTAATTGGTACTCTTGACTGGTTCAACTCACGAGTACTCAACGTCATGTCTTCTGCGTCCGATCCCTCTCCCTCTCCAAAATACACTTACACGCCCTTTCCTCAATCGAAAATCGTACATCCACTTCGACCATATTACGTCCCTCCAAATACAGATTACTATTATACACCCGGCTCTAATGCTATAGCCAATAATCAATCGGAACAAAATAAACTTGTTGATGAAGAGACTCACAGTGCGCTGAAGGAATTAGGCAGTTTTGCTTTGGTCAAATATGTCAGCACAGCAATATCCAACCCATTTGAAGTATCAAAGACTTTGTTACAAGTCCAGTATCTACCTAATGAAGACGTTGTGCCCGTTGTTCGTGAAAACAATCTAGAGTCTGATGATGAGGTATGTCCATGATACTTGTATAAACAAATACGTAACTTTTTATCTATATTCTTATGCCGAGAACATTTGTATAGCTAAAAGAACTCTCGTTCTTATTCTATAGTCTTCAGATGAAAACTTGTCAGATTTTGATCAGGAAGGCAGATCTACAAAGCCACAGCTTGATCCAACTTCACCAGCATTTAGAAAGAGGAAGACATCAGACAAACAAGGATATCTATTAAACACATCCATATATGATGAGTCAACAAGACCCGCTTACATGTTACCACCATTAGATGACGGTGTGTGGGGTACTATAAGCATCCTAACGAAACACAAAACAGAAGGTTGGAAATCCTTGTGGAAAGGTAAGACGTTTTGCTAGTCAAACAAAATTGGCAAAACCTTAATCGGCATAATATTTGATTCTAATGAAAATTATGACTGCATAACTGCATCATTAATATTCATCCATCTTTTAAGGACAATTCACTGGCTGGCTGTATGATATGGCACATCTCTTCTTTCAACCTACCATCGAAGGAATCTTAAATGATGCATTCGATCTGTATGATGATACGATTCCGTTAGTCTATTTGGACAAAGTCGGACCTAATCTTGCTACACTTGTTGCTAGTCATATAGTCGTTGGTGTACTATTGAGTCCATTAGAGGTGGCTAGGACAAGGTACATTATCGGGAAAAGGGGGAATATGGGTGTCTTGTTTAATATCAAGTGTTGTTAATTGGTGAAACCACCGTTATCAAGCTCTGATTTATATTCACACTAATTCAATGTTATCGTTAATGATTTTTAGGCTCATAGTCCAGACATCATCTCCAAGTCAGAGGAAATATAAAGGACTCTTTGATTGTCTTCGCCAGATGATAAAAGAGGAGGGTTTATCCTCTTTATACTGGGGTCATAACCTTCTTCCTTCCATCGTCTATCATGCCATTGACCCACTTTTGGAAAATAGCATTCCAATTCTAATTGACCGTATTTTCCACATATCAGCTAGCGATTCACCCCTTATTTATGGAACCGTCCAACTGTTGCTCAATACTGTTCAGCTGATGATTACTCTTCCGATCGAAACGATCCGTAAAAGACTTCACTGTCAAGTACGATCTCGTGTGCCTGGAAAAAGATTCGAAACCGTTGTACAGACACGCCAAGCACCGTACGTTGGTATGCTGGACTGTGGATATAGAATTATCGTGGAAGAGGGTATAAGCCAGAGGAAGATGCCCAAACGTGGTAATGCTCCGAAACGTCACTTGCAACGAAAGCAGACGAGTTGGTTAGATAATTATGGAATTCGTGGTTTATATAACGGATTTTCGATGCATTTCACAGCCAACCTACTGATGTTTGTCGTGCAAGCTGTCAATGGCGGCGATGATGACTTTGAGGATATTTGAAGAATTTAAGTTTTATATTGCCTGATGGGTAATTTGTTCTAAATATGGGCCATGAATGTATGAAAGATATTCATGAACAATCCGTGAATATAATAATTATTGTAAATTGAGACATTGCATGAGGTGTGTTTAACCTATCTATAATTGTATTGTGTAAATTATTTGTAAATGTAATTGAAAGTGTATACAATGTCTGCATAGTAATTGAAATGTATGTGTAAAGTGTTCTTTATTATTCCTGCTGATAATTATCAAAGCTGTACAAGTTAAAGTATAGAGGATTAAGCTTTTAAAATCATGACGATTGGAACATGGTCACTAGCTCCATAGCACTCACTCCTATAAATTCAAGACATCAAGCATGTCAATAGTGAACCCATTAACGTGAATGTAATCCAAATATCTCGTATAATTTTGATTACCTGATCTCGCTCAATATAATCCTATCGAGTAATCGCTCGCTTACTACATGATAGTCTAATCGCCATCCAATACCTTTGGTGCGGCAATTGTATCTGTACGAATAGTATGTATACACTCCCTTGGTCTCTTGATGGAAATGGCGCCATGTATCAACAAACTTTTGCGCACCACCATTCAAAAACTTTTCAAAGTCTGCTCGTTCTTCCGCTGTAAAGCCTGCTGTTCTGTTCAAATACAAGTTAATACATGATGCATTACCAGATCACGTCATTGACAATTAAATAATATTACTTACTTGGAATTGGTTGAAGGTCTCGCCAAGTCAATCGTTGTATGTGCAACGTTCAAATCGCTACAGATTGAATACGGAAATTTGATAAACTTTTTGACAGTTAATCAATTATAACATGCCATGTTATATTCAAAGAGACTTACCCGGCCCAGATTAAAGGCTTCTTTTCATCTAATTGCCTCAAATATTTATCCATTGCAATATCCCACTCCATCCTCGCGGCCAAATTCTTCAACTTAGTTCCCGAATTGGGAATATAACAAGCAACATAATAAAAATCGGAAAATTCCAGCGTGATAACCCTACTTTTTGTGTACTCTACGTCTGAATGAGTCGCGACTCCAAAAGTCACGGAAATCGGCTCAAGTTTTGAGAATACAGCTACACCACCTGCCCCATTAAACAGATGATTAGTGCCGCAAACTTTTATTCATATAAAAAAACATAGTATGTACCGTGTCCTTTCTTGTCGCCAATCGCCCACCACCTGTGAGGATATCTATCAGTGATAGAGCTTATCTCTAACGGCCCTTTCACTTTGGTCTCTTGCAGGCACAAAATGTCTGCATCTTCAGCATCCATATACGTCTCAAATCCCTGTTATTAAGCAATATATTACTTATATGTTTATGAATATTAAGTAATTATTATTTTTGGCCATTATTACCTTTTTCATTGCTGCAGTCAAACCGCTAACATTCCAGGAAGCAAACTTTATCGTGTCCTCCTGTTTCTTTTGGAAAGACAAAGTAGCTGGCATACAAGTATTGGTCGGTCCAAAGTTGTTGTTTGTGCTAGCGTTGTTCTCAGCCTCAGCTTTCATATCAATTCCATAGTCTTTTTCGTTATCTTCTGTCTCGACTTTATTACCGGTAGACTTTTGCTTGATGACATTGGTGTTTGACTTTTGAGTCCCAGCAGCTGAACTTTTCGTTTTTTTAGTAGGACGCGACTCTTTCTCTGTATCAACTGGTGGTTCAAAGACATCGTGCACTATTTTCGCACCACTATTGAGCTTGGATGCTGCCGTGGAGAGTGTTTTCCGTTTGACAGGCATGTTAATACGCGAAACTTGGAAAAAAAAAAAAGTCTCACACGCGTATTAAACATTCTCATCGTTAAAAACCTCGCGTTGCACAATTCAATCCATGTGATTTGATAAAATAGAGTCCTTGCTGCGCTTGGTGTCTGCACGTTTAACAAAAATTAGTTCGAGTCTAATCTTTATACATCAAATACCAATACCATGGGGAAGAAAAAGAAGAAGCAAGTAGTAGTACGTCCCTGGTGCTGGTAAGTTCTTCCCACTAGGGCAAAGCAACAGTAAACAGTCGAGATCATTCTGTCTTGTGTTTTACGAAGAACTTTGATGCAGCTTACGAACTTATTGCATGTGACTTTTCCTGTAAAGGTACTGTGAGAGAGATTTTGAGGATGAAAAAGTACTCATACAACACCAAAAGGCAAAACACTTCAAATGCCCACATTGTAGCAAAAAACTGAATACTGCTGGTGGTATGGTAGTTCATGTAGCTCAAGTTCATAAAGAAACCATTACAGTGTAAGGATCAGTCTCCTGACTTTGTTTGTTTATATTTCATTGTTATCAACCATTATCATCATATATAATACAACACCCTCTCCTATTAGTCAAGGCTAACACAAGTACCTTCAAAGGCCAGTGTGTCATGTGTTGTCATTTCTTTTAATTTTCAACCTTATTTCTCATCTTAATCTTTATCTTTCATCTATTATATCTGTTTCATTGAACCTTGTTAATTGTTTAAACAGGGTTCCAAATGCAATTCGAGGAAGAGAGTCAACTGATGTAGAGATTTTTGGGATGGAAGGTATTCCTCCCGAAGATGTCATTGCTCATCAAACTTCATTAGAAGTAGAGAGCGGACATGTAGTGAAGAAATCGAGAACAGACAGCATAGATGGGTCAGACTTGTCAGATGGGAAACAATTGACGCAGCACCAAGCTATGATGCAAAATCCATCAAACGCGTACTCCTATGGTACATATCCAGGATACCCGACACAGCAGACAGCGTCCTTAATGCCTCATCAATACAGTCAATTTTATCAACGGCCTGGTGTACCACCTACTCAGCCATATTCACAAGCATATCCGTATCGGCCATCGTAAGTATTGAAGCAGTTGCTAGTTTTCATAATCTAATTCAAATTGTTTCAATATTGATCCATTGCAATTCCTGTCTTTGTTCCCTTAGCGGTCCACCGTCTGGTACACCACCGGCAGCAGCAGGCTGGCGTCCTCCAGTTGGAGGAGGACCAACAGCAGCACCTTACGGTAATATACCACCTTACAATCCGTCCGGAGCAAATCCACAAACTACCTTCAATGGAATGCAACCTTACGTCCGACCTGCTACTACCGCTACATCTGTGACATCTCCCGTGGATGGTACCTATCCTCCATATGTGACTACAACATCGACACAAGCAGCTTACCAACAAACAGGGACAGCTATCGCGATGTCAAATGGTGTAGGTACGGAAGATGGTGGAGCAGCGATATCTATAGAACAGAGTCAGTCCGTTGCAGGCCAGCAACAACAGGGACAGCAGCAAACTCAGAAGAAGCCTACGGCGACTGTGCTCGTATATAGCGACAATGAAGTATCGCCGGTACATATTTACGTCTATTGTTTTTTTTTTCTTTTACTTGGTTGGATGTTTATTTAATCTCAATTTTTTGGCATTGTAGGAAGAGAAGCGAGCATCTCTGGAAAAATATCGTATCTCTTTTGGGGCTTCTCATATTGTAGCACCCTCTTCTCATCAACATTCACGCCCCTTTTGATATCGTCACAAGCTGCCCCTTCTCTATTCTTAATCACCCTCTTTTGTAGCACTCTATCTATATACATCCTCCTTCAAGCATTAAAACCCTCTCCGTCCAATCATTATCCACCTATCCGCGCCCATTCATCCATCCACGCCCATTCATCCTCCATCCACCCTTATTGTCATTATTTCATCTTTTGTATCCGTCTCTTACGCGTCAAAAAAAACTATATCTTTTCGTCACGAAGTTAATTACATAACGGCCCGATTCACTATACTCAAAGAGGAAATCCGAAAGCTAAGCGCTTATATTACTGATTGGTAGTGTCTTTACTATAATCACCCACGTTGACTTCTCACTTTTACCATCATTCCAATGAAAATTTTGGAGCGGTTCCGGGGAAGTTTCACGAGCTCGTAAGTGTTTTTTCCTACTTGCTGATTGCGATTCTTTCATACGCGGAGTGTTTCTGACGGGGCGACTTGAGTGAAGGTAGGGAAAAGTGAGAGGTTAGTTGATCCGAGTCGTTGATGATGATTCTGTATGACAGTTTGTTGTGAGAATAAAAATGAGCATGTTATATGGAAGATAGAAATAAACGTTCAAAATGTCATGCCTAATATGGACTAGTGCGACAGATGATTGGTCTTTACCATTGTTATCTATCTTGGTTGGCCTTCAGATTCGTCCAATCTCGGAAGACTGATCTGTTTTTCTAAATTGGTATAATAATACGGATTTGAGGTTGCTGGATTTCCATATTCATATTCAAGTAAGACAATGTCCTTGAATTCTCTATCTCGCAGACCGAGACGCCTCGTAAGAGCTGGAATTTTGGATATCTAACACTCTTATTTTCAACGAGTCTGAAAAATAAGATTATAACATAATGCTTCGCACTATCCACAGTAATCACTATCATTACTAAATAGAGTACAAATCTCATCTTATTGCACTTGTAACTTTCTTCAGATAGGTTGAAGACAAGTTCAGTAAACAAGCTTGTTTATTATTATACGTTTACAAAAAAATCTTGCCCTCGTTCACCATTACGTTCAATAATCGCCTCGCAACGTCTCTTCATTGAGTTTACTAAATTTTTTACAATTATATCCGGAATACCGTCCCACTCTTCTACCATAAAACGCCTTAATTCACTAAGATTTTGCGGTCTTCGCCTTTCAACATTTGTTTTAACTATGCTCCATAGATCTTCTATTGGATTTACAGTATGTCAGGACTATTCGACAACTCTGGGCATATTTTCCTGTAGAAATTGTTTAGCGACAAAACTTGTATGTTTCGGATCATTATCCTGTTGGAAGCGCCAGCTTCTTCCGAGCATTTGTCGTATTTGGGTAGGTAATTTCGACATAAATTGGCCCCGTCATTATGTTTTCAAAGCAGTTTTGCCCTTCGCGCAAATCCACCCCAAGCGAAAATTTTTTTGGGGATAGGACGAACTGGTCGGGGGCCTTTATACCACTGTGTTATGGTATTCCGAAATAGCTGAAATGCAGTTTCATCCGTAAAAAGGGCTTTCTGCCAGTTATCATTGAGATGAGTATAAGCCCATTCAATTCATCTTCTTTTATGATTATCGGTAAGCATTGGGTAGCCAAAGGCATGTTATTCTTATAGTGCAAGCCTCCCAAATGTCTTGAAATTGCTCTGTATGATAGCTCAAGACACTTTTCAGCTAATTTAGTCATGAAGATTGTATCCCTTGATTCCATATCCAGAAATGTAAAAACAACTTGAGGCGTTGATTTTTTATCTTGTGCGAGCTGTTTGCAAAATAATTGACAATGTAACAGGTCAAAGTGCAATGAAAAAACAAGACGCGATACTCGTTAAATATTATTTCAAATACGTTGAGCATCACATGATTAAACCACATGCTATCGAGGGCAAGATTTTTTGTGGTAAAATAACTCTCGGAGTTGAAAGTATATACAGTGTGGGACAAAATAGTACATAAAGCTTCCACTTAAGACTATATACTATAATCTGAATTACCCATCGTAATCATCGTTATCACTCTTTTCTGAATCTGTTTCAATGATTTCTCATTCCACTATCATTCTTTTCTGAATCTGTTTCCATGCTTTCAAATTCAGGTTCTGATCTGTTGCGATTGGACGATGGTCTGGGACAATAACAAGTGAACAATTTTAGGAAATTAAATTGATAAAGAATAATATCAAAAACTGTTGGTTTACTCTTACTAACTACCTGGACATGGTGAGTTATTAAGCATTTGGCGAGCCCGTTTTTTTTATATATTTTATGCTCCTCGTAAACGCGCTTGAATGTCGCTATGGATAAGCTAGAATAACAGATATGAATAGCAAGTCAATAGTAGTACATACTGCCTTTGGTATGCAAAAACGTGTAAATATAAATATGAACCCAGATTACCTTGTCATACTGCATTTCTGTTTCTACCGCTTTCTCCCGGACAGTCTGCCAGTAATTGCCTGATTCCAAGTCATTGATCATGAGCCTTTTGAGACAAAAAACTTCAGTTCGAAAAACTTATATTTAATCATACTCAATTCATGCTATAAGGTGAAATACTTACAGAAAACCGCCCAATATGCGCTATGGCATTGGCCTTTACCTTACGGTCATTATAATTTACAGCATTTTGGCATACTCTCGTTCAGCCTCTGCCTTCTGTGCATAGGAATATTTAAATCTTTCATAGAATCGTGCAGGATGGAGTTGGCTGCTCGTTTGTGAAAGAAACCAATTGATCTGTTCTCGAGTTGCCATGGACGCGTGCTTTGGCCAAAAATTTTGCAACGCGGTTCGTATTACTTAACAAAAAAAAAAGTGGCCGAATTTTCCCCAGCGTCACCATGAAAATTTCACGTTCACGTGATTTTATATATATATATATAATTTAAGTTTAACAAAAAATTTAGCATAAATTAAATTTTGCTTCTATATTTTCATGATGATGCTGGGGTAGTTGGTTGCCGATGCTAGTTTGGGTAGAGATCCGCGTGAAGAAAGTGCACCGCAATACAGCAATAGCAGATTTTGATCCATTACATATAAGGTAATGTTTATAATATGCATTTGTAATAACAGTTTTACATTAATAACTTAGTTATTTCTTATATGTATATGCCATAAAGACTTTGGTTGTTTTTTTTTTACTTTGTAGCGATTTTGCATAATAATACGATATTTCATAATCTCGCAATCAAAATATCTTCTATTGTTATTTTTATTAAGCAAGGATTATACAAATTTGAGCATTAATGTTACAGCTATGACTTATTTAATTAATTATTAACATAGAATTAATATAATATTAACTATTTTGACATATCGTATGGTTTATGGAATTGTAAAGAACTTTGATATATTTATTGTATTTGCGAGATTTCAATTACAATCGTATGATTAAAAAGTTCCATAACTACGGCGATAACGATTACAAAAAACCAAAGTCTTTATTATTATGGCATATACGTATAAGAAATAACTATTACAAATGCCAACCCAACTAACGTGACTACCCTTTTTGCACTCATATGACATTCTGATGACATCCTTGCGCTTTTTGTAGTACCTAGCAAAAATGTTCGGATCACGTGGAAATGTACACCGAAGTCAACTCGGTCACAACAAAAGTAAACGCGTCTGCGTTGCGTAACACTTCGGAAAAATATTCGCGTTCGCCATAATTGTCCGAAGCTCATATTAACGATCTCGACAAGTTTCCTCGTCCCATCGGCTGCATACAAAGTTACGTAAAACAAATTTTTGAGCTAAACCAGCTAATGTGGTGATCTTCAAGCCCTGGCCTCGCAGTCGGTGTTCCGTTGGCTTGTAAAGCGGAACATCTACACAAGTGATCTTGGTGGTTTTGACTTTCTGAGTCAAAATTTTGGGGGCCTGTAAAACCTTGGCGGTTACGCACTTGCCCTGGTGTTGTCAACAAAATTGCTGCATTGCGACCTCAAGGTTGTGGCTTTCTGAGTCACCTTTTCGTTGACTTGTAATAATCCCTTTGGGAGATACTCTCCTGAGGTTTTTTCTACGAAATGACTTGTGTAGTGACTTGAAGATTCTGGTCTTTGATAAGCCAGCATTCCGGGGGCCTGTAAAACCTTGGCGGTTACGCACTTGCCCTGTGTGTTGTCAACGGATGACTACTTACTATCCTAATATTTAATACATTATGCATTTGTCAATTGATTAATTCACCGGCTTTTTTCTTTTCTTTTTCTTTGGTATTTGCAGGCTAATAATGGTGCATATCTATTCTTTGTTGCTTGTTGATTTCTAGTGTTCACAATACTAATTGCTTCTTTATGGTATAAGACAAGTACGATCGAAACGTTGAAAGAAATCATGACAAAAGGCTTCGGGGTAATAAAATTTTACAAACATCTAAATTACCGGCATTCCCAGCGACAAGAAGCGGAGGAGCATTTACGGAAGGCACTCGAAGCCATTGCATCCGAACAAAACGCCTTCTCAGGCAAGGCCCAAGATTGGCTTCGCGACTTAAGCATCCTGACACACAATTTTAGCTCTGAACAATATTGGAACTCAGTACGTGTGAGTGAGGAGCGAGAAACAACGAAAACAACGAAAGCCATTTCAGCTGAAAAAGAAGTGAGTATGACATCAAGTATGTGGTCCGTCCAATCAATGTCCTCATTGAGACTTCGAATATAGGAACAGCACGTCGTCCATATTATGTCAAACGTCATAATCGAACATGATACTGCAAGTAGTTCACTACGAAACGTCGTTCAGGTTCGTTAAAATTTTACACTAATCCTTTTTTCAATTGTGTGTGAAAACAGAGTATTGTTCGCAACTTGTGAAATCCGTCCATATTGATATGTAGGAGAGACTTGAGAAGCGTCGGGTGTCATTTGAAACGCTGTCGAATCCAAAGAAGGTTGGAGGCTAATTTACATGTCCTTGGTTTACGCTTTTATTCATCTGCTCAATCATGCTTAATTTCGTAATACTGTATGCTACAGAAAAAATCAGATTTCACTGTTGATATATCGTTTGACGAGTATATCGATGCCGTTAGCGCCATTGAAACTGTTCGCGTCGACAATGCTGCAGCGCATACTGAGTAAGCTACTTATATGTTGCTTGTATAAATTCTGTTATAGTTATTCTATGTATATTTTGTTGTAGCCCGTCTTGGTGGGGATTTCTAGATTTTCGCGAGGAGGGCGTGCATCCGAATCTGAGTCTCCCCCGAGCGAAGCAATTCCTTTCTGAGGAAGAGATCAATCGATTGATGGCAATGGCTAGGCGTTCCATTGAAGTAGCAGAAGATAAGATGGGAAGATCAGCAAAATCATTCCTAGATGCCTTATCTCGTTCGGATGTTGTTAGCCTGCGTGTACTTGCAAAGGAGCGAGGGACTCGTGGATTAGCTGGGTTATGTGCGCTGCTGGAAAAAGAGTCAGAAGCCAATGAGGTGGGTTAATTTCGCTATATCATTAGATCCATGGGTCATACATTAACTTACATTACTTTGAACAGGGTACATTTGGCAACAATCTGAATAGAGAGCAAGTTCGAGATTACCTAGCTTATGTAAATATTGAGGATGATGATACAATGTACATAGGAAAATGTTTTGAGGATGTGTGAGTATCTCTTTCTTCCTTTATGTCATGATTTCATTATTCTAAAGCTTATCTGTAAACTTTGTAATAGAAACGCATGGATCTCCAGCTTTAATGGACAATGCCAGTCAGAGAGGACTATAGATATGTTTGTGCTGGGGCCATGTGCAAAGACGCCACGAACAGTTTTTTTATAGTGAGTCTTATTTTTGTTGTTGCCTGCAAATATGTAATGTTACTGAACATTATTGTTTATTTACAGCGGTGATAACCACTCTGATGCCGATCGTGAGGACAAGACTGAACGTTCTGGAACTGATCGTGTAGGAAAGTCATGTGACTATCTATATTGGGTATACACCTGGTTCAATTACATAAAATGTGTATTATAACCTTGTTCTAACATGGGATTTATAGAGTTCTCGTCGAGAAATTGGGGTTGGGGAGAATGCTGGTCCTAAACTTAAAGACCACCATGATGCAGCTAAGTCGAAATTTATTGATGTAATGAAGGTTGCGAAGTCCCAGCACATCCAATTCAAGACGCTTCTAATCGAGCAAACCATGCAAAATCCTTTGCCCAAGAGTGTTCAGGAAACGTTGGCATCCATTATAATACCATTTTTCCACGTTATTGGTATGAAGGTCCGTTTCTACCTTCTTTTTCAAATCAGTGGTGACCTCTATGGCATTTATGAATGGGCATCAGAAGATCTGCCCATCAAGGACACTGATGTTGGTGAAGTAATCCTCCTCTGTAAACGATTTTTGATTCACAGGGTAATTTTATTTGTTATTGTATTATTTTTGGTTTGCTTTGTGGACTTATAAATATTTATGGTGTTTTGCAGTATCTCATAGACAATGCAGGACGAACTCTAGATATTTTGTCAAAAAAAACAAAACTTTTTAGAGATGAGATGGCACGGGAGGATTCTCCCTCTACGGTGCAACTGGAACATTTACGAACACCTTTGAAAAAAAAGTGAGATTACAATAAAGCATCTAGGTATCGTACTGTGTCAAATAGATATAGGAGAGTAATTGTTCAATGACACCTTTGTAATTCATGTTTTAGTCACTCTCGGATGGATTGTAACACATCAATAGTAGGCATTACTAATTACTATTACTACTATTTCCTGCATGATCTCCGGAGA